TATCTATCTATCTATCTATCTATCTATCTATCTATCTATCTATCTATCTATCTATCTATATCTATATCTATCTATCTATCTATCATCAATCATTTATTTATTATTTAGCCTTGTTGTTCCAGTCATGTGTTGAATTGCTAATTCGGTGTTCAGAATTGAGAAGCATATCATTAGTTCCACAGAGAAAAGGAAATTTAAAGGTTGCACTTTTCTTCCCCCTTCCTTTATAATTATCAACAAGATTATTATTAACTTTGCTGCTTCTCAAAACCCTTATGGACAATTTATATTTACTTGGAAAAATGAGTAATAATTTCTGATGGACAGTTTAAATCCTTTATATTTTTTGAAAAAAAAACCTTGTTCTTAAACTTTATGAGCAGATAAGTTCATTATAGGAGTGACATATCAGATTTAGAACCAAATCGGAGTTATATGAGGAACAGAGTATTTATTTAAATCTTAACTATCTTTGGATACTCAGAAGCATTGCATGGAATAATAGAAGTCTTTTCAGCTGGGTCATGATGATATTGATTCTTCTCCTATTATTACTACATGTATTTAGTAATGACCAGTCAATGATATGCAGAATTCAAGACCCCATCCCGATTTTTCACAAATATTTTCAAGCAGGTGACTTCATCATTGGTGGCATTACATCTTTTGTCTTCATAAGCAGAAATGTAGAAAGGTTTGAGGAAGTTCCCAAGCATTTTGATGATGGTGAATCGCAGTAAGATGTTTTCTTTACTGGTAGCATTGCATCAATCTAGATAAAAATATATTATAAATTTATCCTATGAGCCATAATTTATTCCAATATTGCACATATAAATTTTAAAATGTAAATATAAAACTGAAGTAATATTTTTCAATTTATATGTTTTATTGTGCTTTCTAAAGAAAACCAATAGTATTCCTTAGAGCAAATGGGAAAATAAAAATAACTATTTAGTTCTTTGTTATTCTGAGATTTAGTACAATATTGGAATTACAGTGTCAGCTTCTAAAACTGATTCTTAAAGGAAAGGAAAGTTGTATTTAACCATATGAACAACACTATTAAGTCAAAAATGCAGTATTTATCTCAATAAACTTTATCAATAAATAAACAGAAACATCTTTGTGTTGATATAGTATACTGAAACTTTCTGGAGTAGGGAAAAAAGAAATACATGTCCTCAGGATGATTTAATTAGTAAAAGTCTTATTCTATCTTTGTAATGTTATTTTAAAAGATTAGTTTTACTAATATATGAAGTTCTTATAGCTAAAATAATGAAGGTATTAATGCTAAGTTTTGCTACTATTAATGCTAAGTTTTGATACTACTTCTTAAGATACAAAAACCTTAAGTCTTGCTTTAAACTAATTTTGGAATATTTTGGGATTTTTGAATTGCTTATTAATAAAAATACCTATAATTTTCATATAATGAAAATTGTTTAACAAGCACTTTTAAGAAATGCTAACAATGATTCCACTGAAAACTGAATGGTTATTAATCAATTAATATAATTCTTATGGAGCACAATTTCAGTGCCATTTTTAGATACAGATTTTCATTTGATGTAGAATCTAATTCCCATTGCAGAGTCCTGATCAAATATTATCAGCATATTTTGAGCTTGGTATTTGCTGTGAAGAAGATCAATGAAGATCTCCAGCTCTTACCTAACATCACGTTGGGCTTCAGAATATATGACACTTATGGCGGAGAATATACATACCATGCCACAATGGAAGTTCTCTCCAATCAGAACCAATTCATTCCCAACTACAAATGTAGCATTCTGAACAACCTTGTATCAGTTGTTGGGACTCTTGATCCTGCAATTTCTTTTGATATGGCAGATATTTTAAGCATTTATAACATTCCACAGGTAAAATTTCTTAATGATAAGGTCTTCACACTTTGCTTTGTATTTTCTGGCAGAGGGAATTGTAATTCATTAAGATATTTTAACTTCATATGCATGAATCTATAAAGTATATTTAAGAAAATGTATTTTGAAGCATAAAGCAATGTGGATTAAAGCAACGTGGACTAATTTTCAGAATTTGATATGCTAGGTAAGTTTTGAAAATTAACCATTAATAAATACCCCATTGGGCAGACATTTGGATTTCTGTGGTCCTCCCATGTAAGGATATTGTGATGAGCAATAAATAATATAAAGTTTCTTGATTTTATTTATTTATATTGTATTTCTTTATTAGATTTATATGCTTTCTTCCATTCAGATGTTGAAATGTCATACAAAATGCTTTCCTTTCCTGTATCTCTTCAACTACCAGTTGCTGTAGGTTAGGCTGAGATATATATATATATATATATATATATTGAGGGATGTAAAGTTATACAGTGAGATCTTTTGGCAAAGAGTAGATGTCCACAAGTTTTTCATACACTTCATCTTATCCATAACCTTTCTTTCTTTCTTTCTTTCTTTCTTTCTTTCTTTCTTTCTTTCTTTCTTTCTTTCTTTCTTTCTTTCTTTTTTCTTTCTTTCTCTCTCTCTCTCTCTCTCTCCTCTCTCTCTTCTCTCTCTCTTTTTCTTCCTTTCTTCTGTCCATTATTCCTTTCATTGTGTCCATATATACTATTCTATTATTTTTATTCTGTGTTGTATGTTGCTCAGAATCTATTGGTACGGGGAAGCTAAAATATTTGCCAATATGTAGCTAACTAGATAAAGAATGAAGTAGCCAAAGCTACATTTTAAATCTCAAGGACTTTATAGAAGCAGGTTTTTAAGGGATATAGTATACAAAAAAATATATTTCATCCTGTTAGATGGCATGACCTAAGAAAATATTCAATGATACAATTAAAATTCTTCAATAAACTGAGAAAATACATTATTGAATAGGAATCATACTATCTATAATAAGAAAAGATGGATTGTATGTGTGCTATATGTTGGAATCAAATACAAGATTCATAACTACAGACTCATGATTAGTTTATTCAAGGGAAGAATCTGAACTCATACATTAAGATATATTTTGGAACAAAGGTTGGATACATTTTTCATCAATCTATTTCTATCCACGGAACAAGAAGTTTGCAAATGTTTTCTGGTTCTACCATATAGTATGAATCACTTTCATAGATAAAACTATTCCTATTCATGAAGAAATAGCAGGAATGTGTAAGTTAAGTAGAAAAAGAATGAAGTAAATTAAGTAGAAAGAGGATGAAAAATCACAATCATACAACTCTGCAGTTGGTACAACAGTCATGTACTATCTTGTCCCACAAATATTTCATGCTCATAAATAGTATGCGAGCATATTCTGAGACATTTTAGAATTCTATATTTTCAGAAGATACACATTGCTTTTGTCAATCATTTTCCTGTCCCCCCCTATAGTTCCTATATGGCCCTCCTCCAAGCATTAATGGTAAAACTGAAATCCCCTTCTACTATCACATGGTTCCAGATGAAGATTTCCATTTTAGGGGAATTCTTCAGCTACTTCTGTACTTTAAGTGGACCTGGATTGGGATACTTGTGAAAGGATATGGCGGAGCAAAATTTGAACAACTAATTTTTTCATGGTTATCTCTTCATGGTATATGTATTGCCTTCTTAGAACAACTCCGAACAATTTATATCGATAATGTGGATGATGGATTGAAATGGTTTGTGGAGACATTTCATCTTTTTACTAACAGCAAAGCTAATGTTGTAATAATAAATGATAAATATGTTTTACATTTGAGGTGGTTGCTATATCTGCCTGAAATGGAAATGGTTTCTATACAGCCAAAAGGTAAGGTGTGGATCATTGCTTCCCAAATGATTCTTGCATCATACTTTTATCAGAAGAGCTGGGATATCCAAGTTCTCCATGGTGCACTGTCCTTTGCAGCTTATTCAAATGAAGTTGAAGGATTCCAGCATTTTCTCCAGTCAAGAAAGCATTTCTTATTCTTTCACCAAGATGGCTTTATAAAAGATATGTGGGAGCAAGCATTTGGCTGTGAATTTCCAGATCAATCTGCAAATGTGGAAACTGAGGGTATCTGCACTGGGAATGAGAAATTGGAGAGCCTACCTGGGGCATTTTTTGAAATGCGGATGACCAGTCCCAGTTACAATATATATAATGCAGTGTATGCTGCGGCACATGCTTTACATGCCATACAAGTGACTCAACAACCACATAAGAGAAAGCTGAGTGGTGGGAAACCTAATCTTCAAGATATACAGCCATGGCAGGTAATCTTCTCAGTAGTCAAATATGTTGGAAATGAGATGTGAATTGCAAATCAGAAGGGTCAGCAAGGTGCAAATAGAAAGTTAGGAAATTCTTGTGTGTTTTCTCTTTATCCTTTTTTTCTTGTGGGATTGCTAATCTTGCAGGTAATCTGTTCCTGCTTTGGTCTTCCAAATCTTACTTATTCTCTAACTCCTCTCTGCAGCTTAGCTTTTGCCTATGCTGTCCCTCCCTGTGATGGGCAAAGTGAGTAAAGAAAGCCTCACCAGTAATTATGGATAAACATTTACAGTGTCCTTAGTACAGTCTGAGTTAAATATAAGATATTACTAGAGATTATGTAGGAAAAGTCCCAAGACTTCCTTTTGATTTTCTTATAGAGGCCAAGTATCTAGTGCTGCTCAGTCACCTAATAAACCTCAAATTAGAATACATGTCTGCTACATAGCTATCCACTCTACTCCACTCCACTGCTTTCCGTTGGTTGAAAATAATAACCTGATATTCCACCTTCTTCCCCATTGAGTGAGACATAACACAGGTCTGCAAAAAAACACCTTTTTTTTGAGAGTTGTTTTGGTTATTCCATGTAATCTTTATGTTTCTTGGTGCGCTGAATCCGAAAATGACCTCCATTTTGTCATAGGACATCATGTTTCCTGACAATTTAGGTAACTATGTTAAATAAGGTAATACCTCAAAATAAATGGAAATAGACTTATAAAATTAAAGTTTTATTACAATATTTTTATGAAAATCCTTTTTAGAACTGAAATGAACTCACCTACACACACTTCTTCTTCCTTGTGAGGCTCTTCTTGGTGCATTTACACTTGTGAGTAGCATCTGGAATGTCTTTCTGAAGCATCCAACAGTAGTCTGCCATCATTGTAATGCTCCATTTTCCCTGGTATCTCCTTTCCATTTCTTTAATGTCTTTGTGAAATCGTTCACCTTGTCAAGGTGGGACTGGGGGAAATGCACTTTCAAATTCATCAAGCAACCTAAAGCTTGAAATGCTTTCAGCATTCTTCCAAAGATCTTTTTGTAGTGAGGATCTTTGTTATTGCCTAAAAATTTCTGTACGACTTCTTTAAATGCAATCCACCCTTCTTTTTGAAGATCCGTCATGGTATTGACAACTATAAGCCTTCTAATGTCTGGTCTGATGAACACACCTTCCTTCAATTTTGCCTCCAACAGGCATGGAAACTTGGTGACCAAGTATTTGAAGCATTCTCCATCTCTTGGAAGTGATTTTACAAATTGCTTCATCAAACTCAACTTTATGTGGAGAGGTGGTAGAAGAACTTTATGGGAAGGTACCAAAGTTTCTTGGAGGACATTTTTTTCACTGACTGTTAGCACTCTCGGCTGCCAACTCTTCTTGGTCCAGTGATTTTTGTCGGTCTCAACTGTCCCATAGACACAGAAAACAAGGGTATTTGGTATACCCAGCTTGTTGCCCGAGCAGCATGCACAAGCCCTTCAAGTTCCCACACACTTGCCAACCATGGTCTTCATATTTAAGTTTATGAAGAACCAATTCCCGAGCTGAGGTGGCACAGTGGTTAAATGCAGCACTGTAGGCTACTTCAGCTGACTGCAGTTCTGCAGTTCGGCTGTTCAAATCTCACCGGCTCAGGGTTGACTCAGCCTTCCATCCTTCCGAGGTGGGTAAAATGAGGACCCGGATTGTTGTTGGGGGCAATATGCTGACTCTGTAAACCGCTTAGAGAGGGCTGAAAGCCCTATGAAGCGGTATATAAGTCTAACTGCTATTGCTATTGCTAATTCCAAGTTCTCGTAGGTTTCCTTCAAGTGTACGGAATGACCTACAGGTATGGAAGTGTAAAAACCGTTGTGGAGTAAAACTACTTTGAGACTTCTTTTTGAAGAATCTATAAAAAGACACCGTTGCTCTGAATCATATTGGATTTTAAATTGACCCATCAGACCTTCAACATCGATGCAATAAACCAACTTGTCTTCCTGAGTGAAGTAAGGAATGAACTCCTTTTCACGATGTCTCAACCATGAAGATGACACTCCTGGCAACAATAAATTCCTGCTTTTCAGCCTTGATCCAAGTAACTCAGCAGCATCTTTGGGAAGATTCAAGTCTCTTACCAAATCATTCATCTCCTCCTGAGAAAACAATTTTGGTCTTGTATCATCTTCAAAGTCAGAACTTGATTCATCATCTGGTTCAGGTATGACTTCACCTTCATCAGAGCTAGGTATCTCTTCCAAGGTAGCAGGGGGCTTGGGTACTGGTATATCTGTGCCATGGGGGATGGGACAAATTGCTGAGTGAAGATTGGGGTATGAAATGGAATGCTTCTATTTGGAATTAAACCCTTTCACATCATATGAACAAAAGTAACAGTCATCACTATGGTTCTTTTGCTCTTGCCATACTATAGGAATCCCATAACGGAAAGATATTTTCTTACCCTTGAACCTGTTTCGGAGATCCTCAACACACTGTTTGCACACTTTATGAGGCACACAAACTTTATCTTGATCTCCAATTTTAGTCCAAAGTATGCCAAGTATACTTTTTCACAAAGTCTGTAATATTCTGCTGTTGCTTCAACACTGTATATTCACCACAGATGAAACAGAAACTGTCTGGCAAGTTAATACACTTTGGTGGAGCCATAACATGGTTGAAGAATGATGAGCTAACATGAATTGCAATGAATAAGTGTGAATAGCCTAGAACCAAGAACCTGATGATGATTCATGCACAAGTGTGGCATGCAGGAGAGAGCAGCTCTGTGTCTGTACACGAGATGTCAGTGCTGGCCATGCCCCCTGCACTGACCAGAGACGCTGCTATCTGCTCTGTGTCTCCCTCCTACTGGATTCTTCAGGAAAGATTAACCCCTTCTACCATTAGACTTAAAACTTGCTTAGCTTATGTATATATTGCTGACCATCAGATTTACAATGCTATTTTTTTTACATAACTTGGACAAACCCTTTAAGGTTTTTTGGCATTTTATATCTTAAATGCACTTACATGAATTAATTAATAGTAATTTGGACTTTAAATTTGATTAAAAACCCATAATATTAAAAGAATACCAAAAATTAAAAAAAATGATAAATTTGAAGACAATTTTGCATGTTGTGGCAAATCATTACGTCTAGGAGTTTTTTTCAATATTTTATTTGTTTTCAGCACACCAAAATACATGGAAATTAGATGAAAATAATAAAACAGCTTTTTAGTCACAGACCTGTGTATAGACATTCCAATTATGGGTATCTACCTCCTCTGCAAAAATTCCCAGGCTCTGGTTTGAAAGACAACTGCTTGACATCCAAATGACTAGCATAAAGTTGTCCTTCTAACCTGGAAATTTGGTTTGTATTTGCAAGGAATCTCTGTTTTACTGACCTCCTCATTCACTATGACATTGATCCAGAAAACAGGAACTGCAAATGAACTGCTACTTAATGAATTCCATTTATTTCTCAGTGGGGCACTGAAGAATGAAAAGCAGCCTGGGGTTTTAGTCTCCGCTATTCTATATGCTACAATACTCCCCTCCCATTCAAATAATATATCATAACTATGTTAATCGATTTAGTCACCATTTGCTGTTGGTAATAAATGTTTCTATGTTCTCAATGAGGCAGAAACCCCAGATTGGATGATTATGGAATGAGCTGGAAACTTAGCTGCTCTCCTCATACTATTCCAATATATTTGTATTCCAACATATTTCTACTTCTGTGAAGGGACTTCAATGTCACATTGAACTACAGTGACCACACCCTCTATACACAACACAGATGTCCCTTTCCCAACACCGAGGATGAAGAATTGCACCTCACTTGTTCTTCAAAAGATCAGCAATCATACTTTGCAGGCTTTTTCTGGTTGAAATAGTCATTTAGATAAACCTCCACATATTAAATGGTGTCCTTGCAGGTGACCATCCAGCTGAATTCAACTGTATTTTCTGGCTCCAGAATGACAGTTATGACTATATAATAGCCTGTAGGGATCTATTCGCTTATGCCAAGACCCTAGAATTTATGCTTAGAGGGACAGCAATCACTTCAAATCCAGCTCTGGTTAAAATGCTCCATTCAAAATAAACATACCAAAGAATATTACCAACCAGTTTGCTCTGGCATCTGCTGTGTTTCCTGATGCATTCTTCGAGAATTATAACTTCTTTACCCAAGAGCTCCACCAGCATGTAACTATAATAACAGTGCATCCTTGAGCCAATAATAGTACAACTACAAGCTTTGGCTTGGCAAGTCCTTTCTTAATGTGTAAACTGTTTTGAGCTGTGACATAATTCTATATCTTAACTATGATAACTCTTTCTGCTTTTTTCTTTTCACAAATATATTGAATTATTTCTCAATTCAGCTTCATTATTTTCTGAAAAGAATTGCTTTTAATAACAGCATTGGAAATGAAATTTCTTTCCATGAGAATGGAGAACTTATTACAGGACTGGATATTGAGAACTGGGTCACATTCCCCAATCAATCAATTCATCGAGTGAAAGTTGGGAAGCTGGATCCTTGGGCTGCTGAAGACCAAATGTTCACCATTCGTGAGGAAGACATTACCTGGCCAAGCACTTTCAATCAAGTGGGTGGTTTGAATATAGGTAGTTTTCTTTGAATGATGAGATGATATATGTAATCCTCACTTACAAACCATAATTGAAACTGGCAACTTTATTGTGAAGAGTTGCAGTCACAAAATGAAACATCACCTTACTTCACTAACTTACAGCATCAGATTCAGCTGCTATCATTAGCAAATCACTCTTGGCCATTAAGCAGGATATTGCCTGGCCAAAACATGAAACTTCCTGCTAGATTTCCTATTGACTTTGCTTGTCAGAAGACAGTTTGAAGTCACAAGTGTTGCCCACATGACTGTGCAGACACTGTGACACCGCAAACTGTGAAAACCAGCCATAAATCTATTTTTTTCAGCAACATTGCAACTTTAAACAGGCACTGAACAAGTGATTGGTAAGTGAGGATTATCTGTATCTAAATGATACATTTATATCTTTTAACATAGAAAGAAGAAAAAAGACTTATTATTTCATTTGAAATGGATCTGTCTGGAACTGGGAAGAATTATAAGCAGTATAAGAATTACACATTTCTGAAAACCTGTAGTATATAATCCATTACAAAAATTATTATTGAATTTCCAAACATATGTTGCAGTAAAATTTAAAAGTCTTTGGAGATATAAAGTATTTATTCATACATTATTTTAATACATTCATTATTCATACATTATTCATACATTATTCCCATTTTTTAATTTATTTTTTGCTCATGGTTCTTTCTGAGCCTAATTTATCTTGGTCAATCCCCTCAGAGTCATTTAGCTGACAGATATTTATTACAAATAGTAATAATGTTCAATATCTATGGTGCTAAAATTAGAAACAGAGAATGAGATGGCAATTGATTGTGTATCTGGCAATTACATTTGGGTGCACACTTCATAATCTTATTTTGGGGCCCTAAAGATATGTATTGATTACACTGGTGGCCATGTAGTCCATGCTGAGATCCATTGCTTTAATGGGAAGGGTGTATGTATGTATGTATGTATGTGTGTGAGTTTGTGCGTATGTGTGTATGTATGTGTGTCTGTGTGTGTATCTCTCTCTCTCTCTCCCTCCTTCTATCTCTCTCTCTCTCTCTGTCTATCTATCTCTATCTATCTCTATCTCTATCTATCTATCTATCTATCTATCTATCTATCTATCTATCTATCTATCTATCTATCTATCTATCTATNGGCGCCGGCTATGCACTGTATATATGTGAGTGTATGAAAATGAAAAAATGGAAAATAAAAACTTTTAAACGATAAAAAAATTAAAATTGGAAGTGACATTGTTCTATGAACAGAAACTAGGAATTTCTCTTGGGTTCTTTCTTTAGTTTTTTTTAATTCTTGGGGAAATTGCTAACCTCAGAGTAGTTTGCTTCTGCCTTAGTCTTCCAACCTCACTTCTTTTCTAAGTCCTTTCCTGCTCCTTTTATTCCTATATTTCAGGAACACCCTTAAAATAGATTCTGTTAAAAACAGTTAGCTAAGAAAGTCTTGACAGTGGATACAGAAAGACATTGACCATCCCCTTAGCATAGAGGAGATCCTCTAATAAGAACATATCAATGTTCTTATGAAAACCAATTTTTCAGTTCTGCTCCTTCACCCCACCACTCACCTGATAAACTTTATTCTAATATCTGATTCATTCTACTCCATTTCACTCCCATCCTTTGGGTGCAAATAACACTCTGGTACCTGCCCTCCACCACTTAGAGACACAATTAAAAATTCCAGTCATAAACTAATGGAAAGCTACCAGTCCTGCAAAAATTCCCCTTATAGGTCCTGGTAAAGGCAACTGCTTAACATCTAGGTGACCAATATAAAATCACTCTTCTAATCGTAAAACCAGGTTAGTGATGATAAACTGTTAAAAAACTGATACTTAATGGATTACATTAATTTGTAGTTGGGACATTACTGAAGAGCAAAAGACAATCTGGTGTCCTAGTCTCCACTATTCTATAAATCATATCCATGTCCCTCTCCTCATTCAAGTTGTATTGTGTTAATCCAATCTAGCTAGTATGCCCTTTTTATAAATGCTTCAATCCTCCCAATCAGGCGGAAACCCCATATCATATGCATGTGGGATGAATTGGTAACTTAAGTTGACCTGGGAGGGGTTTTCATTGAGGGATTGGATCCTAATGACCATATTCTCTATGCATGGCATAAATATCTCCTTCCCAGCTTCGAGGCCCAATAATTCCTACTCACCCATTGTCAAATATCAGAAATCAATAATTGCAGAAGTGTGGTTGGCTACTATGTAATAATCTTTAGAAACCTTCTTCCCATTGCCAAGTTCTAGTAATATGACATCAATCACCTCTCAATCCTATTCCATTAAAATGCTTCAAAAAACACATACTGAGGAAACATTTTCTGCCAAGCCAAATGGACTCCCATCTAAATCAAATGATAACTGAGCTACCTCAGATCTTCTACAATACTCATGAAAAATTATAACATCCTTACCCAAGAGTTCCACCAGCATGTATTCCATAATAATAATGTGCTTTAAAGCAATTATTGCTAGTGTTTCATTAAGGATGTCAAGTTTGCATCATCATGGCATCATCACCTGATATATCTCAACTTTCTTTATTCTTCGGGTGGACCATGAGTTTGACATCTCAACACTAGATATTTGTTAACATCAAAAACACATTTTGCTACCACTTACCAGTTTTAAGTATTTGCTGAACTAGATCTGCTCCAGCAGAAGAGAAAGCTTCAAGGGCTGCTTGCATGCAAGAAAAGGGAAGCTATAAAAATATTTTCAAACAGCCAGTTCCAATTACTGAACCTCATTCACAATTCTGGGATATCACAAAAATACTTGGCACTGTTTTTCTTTTAGGGTTGTTGTATTTGTAAAAAATTCAGTCAACCACTAGCTAGCAGCAAAAAGCCTTTTCTGTGTTTCTCTATCGCCACCAAGTGACTGGTTAGATTTTTCAGACATCCCAGACATGGAACACAGCAAGCTACAATTATAGCTTTAATAATTGTATCTATTATATTATTTGTAAATCTATATTTTTTTATCTGTAACTTCCCTGATTTGTGTATCTCTAATAATAGTTGGCAGAATATTTCTCGCAAAATAATAGTACAAATGTTACAAACTTTATGTGATAAATAATACTTGCCTAGCCAATTAGATATACTTTTGAGAATTAAATTCTCCTAGAGGTACTTGAGTAGGGTGGGGTGTGGGTGTTAGTTTTCTTTTATTATTAAATAGTTGTAGACTATGATAAAATATTTTTATCAATAATGCCGTATTAAGCAAATGTATCTGATGAATCACCAGAATATTGCACATTATCTCCTTCATTGTTTTGATCTGTCACATAATTCTGTATCTTAACCATGCTTTTTCTCTGTCTTCTCTTTTTTACAAATATGTTCAATTGTTTCTCTATTCAGCTACACTTCTTTTTTAAAAGAATTGCATTTAACAATAGTGCTGGGGATGAAATTTCTTTTGATGAGAAAGGAGAACTGGTTACAGGTCTGGATCTTGAGAACTGGGTCACATTCCCCAACCAGTCCTTCCATCGAGTGAAAGTTGGGAAGCTAGATCCCAGGGCTGCTGAAGACCAAATGTTCACCATTCATGAGGAAGCCATCACCTGGCCCAGTACTTTCAATCAAGTAAGTTCTGATTTTGTTTGGATGTCTGGGATGATACTTTCTTACCATCCATAATTGGAGCCAGCAACTTTGTTACTAAGTCATAAATTACTGCAATGATTTACACTATCAGTTCCAATTGTAATCATTAGTAACTCACCCATTGTGATTTGGGGACATTGCATGACCACAATGTGACTTTAATGCCAGCTTCTCTATTGACTTTGCTTGTGAAGTCACAATTGGTGACCACATGACCATGGGGACAGTGCAATAACTAGAGCTTTGAAGACCAGTCATTAATATTTTTGTAGGTTCTTTGTAACTTTGAGCAGTCACTGAGAAAATAGTTAGGATCCAAATGACACCTCTATATCTTTTAACAGAGAAAGAAGATAACATGATTCTTTCAGTTGATATGAATATGTCTATAACTGGAAAGAAATTAGATTTATGAAAAACAGTAAACCTCAATGGTTAGTAGATCTTGGGATGGGTCAGATGTGGGCCAGCTGTAATGGGCCTTGTGATGGGGAGGTCATGTCAGGTGTTGGTCACTGGAAGATGAAGTGCTGGTTGGGGAATTGTGTGGGTTATTGAGGGTCAGTGCCATCACTAGTTAGTTGTGTGATTGATTTGAATTTTGAGGAGTTTGTAGGCTGGTCAATGTTTCTGTTGATGAGATTGCTTATGGAGTGCCAGATTTTGATGAACTCACACATGTGTTGGTGGCCAATTATTCTGGTATTACTCCAATCAAATTGATACTGTTGGTGTGGGCAGAGATTAAGGATTTGTGATCATGGCATTTGACTGCCAGCTGATGTTCATATATTCTGGTTTTTAAGACCCATTACAAGACTTTCTCTTGTACACATCCACACCTGACCCATCACACGACCTACTGACCACACAAAGCTTTTATAAGCAGAAAAACACAGATATCGCCTAAATTCTGCTGCAGATGTTATTTAGGCTGGCAATGAAACATTCATAAACCAACCCACGAGGTCCTCTTGGGGAAGAAGGATTTGGATAATTATTTACAGGGTCGTTACATCTTATGGATAAAGTCACTCAGATCCATTCACAATTTGAGAGCAGCCATGGAGCAGGACCATTAGAGATGTCCATGGAATGGACTTACCTGATTTTCTGGGAGCAGTTTCAGCCTATTAAACTTGATAAATTAGACTGGATCCATAGCGCTGATCCTGTTAGACTGAGGAAGTAGACTGGATCCGCAAGGCTGTCAATAAAACTACTTATTGTTAGATCCTTGTCCCTCCATTTTAGTTGATAAAAGCCTCCATGAGAGTGAAGTTGGGTCCAAACAGTGATTAATACATCACTGTAGGAAATGTTTTTTTTCCAGCAACATTCAAAGAGGCATTGGTTCATTCCCTCTTCAAGAAAAATTCATTGGATCCAATGTGTGTGCACAGTTTCCATTCAGGCTTCCACTTCTCCCTCTTAGGGATGGTGTAAAAAAGTAGCTCCATTTGAACTCCTAAGTATCCTGAATAAAACAGATTATCTGGATCCCTTTCACTTGGGTTTCAGGCTTGATGCAATGGAAACAGAATTGGTCAAGCTTATGGATAATATTAGATAAGAATGGGATAAGGATAGTGCATTTATCCTTGCTCCCTTTGACTTCCCAGTGTGTTTCTGTATAATGACTATTATATCCTTTGGGGCAAACTGCAGGATTTGGCACTCAGTGCTGCAGTATTTCACTGGTTTGGCTTCTTTCTCCAAGGCCATTTGTATCCAGGGTTAATATGGCGTTAGAGGTCCAGTCTACAACTATTCCTTTGCAAGGTGGCAAAGCGCTCATTACTCTGTCCAATCCTTTTAAACATTTTCATAAAACTGCTGGATGAGATCATCTTGCACCAATGATGAGATATCATAATATGCAGATGATACCCAGCTTTACATCTCTATCTCTGGTGATCTAAATAATGTATTGGTTGGCCTTTAGGAATGCCTAGAGGCTGTAGGGGGTCTGGATCGGGTTTCAGCTGAACTCTCATAAGATGAAGTAGATCTGGATTGAGGAGACCTCAAGATACTGTTGTTTATCATCTTTAGTTATGTATGATGTTGCACAACCTTAAATTAACCTGGTGCACAAACTTGATATTCAAAGAGCAGGTGGAAATCATGGTTACTAGGTCCTTTGTGTAACTTCATATTGTATACCAGTTGCACCCTTATATAGTTACAGTATATGGATTGTGAGGCCCTGTGCATATTCACTCATGCCCTGGTGATATCTCATTTGGATTACTGCAATGTGCTCTTTATAGTGGTATCCTTGAAGAGTACTTGGAATTTAGGTTGGTACAAAATGCAATGATCCACACAGTTTTGTGGGCTCCTAGAATGGCATACATAATACCACTGTTGTGCAAGTTGCATTGGTTACCAGTTTGCTTTCTGAAAGTTACTGAAAATATGTTATTACCTTTGAAGCCTTATGTAGCATGGTTCCAGGATATCTGACGAGCAGTGGAACTAATCCACCCTACTTATTCCAGCAGAAAAAGGCTGCTGTGGATCCTATCTGCTAAGAAATTTGATGGGTTGTGTGAAGGAGAAGAGCTATTTTCATTTAGAGCCACAATAATGTAGAATGCTCTAGTACCAAAGGTAGGAACTAATCCCAACCTTTTGGCCTTCTGGATGGATATCAGAACTTGGTTCTGCTAGTTGTCCTGGGGACCCAAGAAGAGTGCCCACTCCTGGAGATGGTGGATGGGGGCAAGACAAGCTTCTCTCCTGCCTTCCATTTCCTTGGTTTTAGTGTTCATATAATTTTTAAATTTTTAACTGATTTTATGTTTGTCTTTTACTTCTGTAAGCCACATAGTCACTTTATCAGTGTGATGGATGACATATAAATAAATAAATGTTAAACATTTAAATATTATATATTTTTTAATCTTCTTTTCAAACACCAGAGTGAACACTAATATTTCCCTTCCTATTTTACTCATTGGGTAGACCCCACCTGTTTCACTCTGTTCTGAAAGCTGCTCCCCTGGTAATTTCAAAAGAAAGCAGGAGGGAAAGCCGTTTTGCTGCTATGATTGTCATCCATGTCCAAAAGAGAAAATATCAAGCCAGAAGGGTAAAAAGCATCATGAACGAAATTGCATTACAGTTCTACAGAAAGCTAAGTTATATTAATTTGTTGTTGATGGATTATGCTGTCCTTAAAGGAAGGATTTCTTTACCATCTGAAAGGAAGACTTAAGGCAAAGAGTGAAGCATTTAACTATGGCTCTGGTTTAAAAAAACAAACAAAAAGAAGCAAACAATTAACCAAGTGCTTAAAATAATATTGAAACTCCTGATTTTACTTACAGTAGGATTACTTTCTGTAACTGTGTATTATTTATTCTCCAATAAAATCTGTGCAGAGGTGGGCTGCACTTACATTAACAACTGGTTTGCTGATTGTGAGCATGTGCACGCACGCTTCGCCCACAAGTGCCTCTTTGGGGCTGAACTGCAGCTTCAAACATGCAGCTAATCTACTCAGGCAGCTCCAGTGAGTATAGCAGGTGTGGCGAGAACTAAGATGGGCAGGTTGGGCAGGGGGAACACGGCANAGGCGGTCTCTCAAGTACCCAGGTCCAAAACCATGTAGGGCTTTATAAGTGACAACTAGCACCTTGAAGTGTATCCGGAGACCAATAGGTAACCAGTGCAGCTCGCGGAGGATAGGTGTAACGTGGGTGTACTGAGGCACACCCACAATCGCTCTCGCAGCTGCATTCTGGACCAGCTGAAGTCTCCGAACACTTTTCAAGGGCTGCCCCACTAGCAAGGTTGCTAGTTATCACTATATTTTTCCTTATGTGAGCTTTTTCACAAGGGTAATTGCCTATTATACTGTCAGAGAAGACCACTTTATGTTCTATTGTTTCAATATAATCATGTAGAAGCACATAGGCATCAAGCCTCTCAGTGGCATCCTCATTCTTTGGGATATCCTTCCATGAGAATTAATAGTCCCTAAACCTGGGTTTTCCCAGAAAGCTGAATGACCTGACTTTTCCTATAAGCCTTGAGATAGTATGAAACTGGACCTCTATAAAGTTCTGAAGTCAGATCATTCAGCTTTCTGGGAAGATCCAGGTTTAGGGGACTGTTAAATCTCATGGAAGGGTGTCCCAAATGATGAGGCTGCCACTGAAAGGCTTGACTTTCTGAAGACAGGAATGGAGATAACTGGTGTACAACTCACACTTGTGCACAGGTTGTCCTGGAAACAACAGACGCCTGTTCCTCAAGCAGTCAAAAGTTAAGAAGAATGCCCTCATTACACACCATAATAATTCTCCAGGAATGAAGGATCCTGAACCTAAAATTACTCAGTCTTGCTAAGCTTGAGTTTTAATCTGTTGGTCCCCATCCAGATCTCAATTGCCTCTAGACACCAAGAAAGGATTGTTGTAACAGGGTTTAACACACATGGGCAGAGATGTATAATATAAGATAATCAGCATGCAGATGATATCTCATTTCATGGTGATGGATGATTTCACCCAATGGCTTCTTGTAGATGTTTAATAGCAGAGAGAGAGCATCGTGGTATTCTGCATAGCAGGGCTTGGAGGTCAATATTTAAGGCTGAATCCAAATTGAAAGGGGTACAGATAATTCATCCTGGAACTGCAACATGACCATCTTCTGAACAATCTTCCCAGAATGGGAAGGTTGGAGATAGGATGACAACCCAGTAATGTATTCTGAAGGAGGAGCAAAGCACATCAATATTATATTTTCCTCACTTTTCAACTCTATCCAGACAAGCGAGACTGTTGAAGTCCTGTTCTGATGCCTGGATGCTCTAAGACTGGAGAGGAACAAACCCTGACTCAAGGCTAATGAGGATATTACTCATGACTATGGACATTGGGCAGCCCTCTCCTCTGAGAATTTTTAATCCATAATCTTGGGTTAGGCTGCATTTCTCAATTCAAGATTGATGCACAAACTGCGGGTCCTCTTGGATTCACAAGTATTGGTCAAGGAGCAGGTGATAACTGTGATTGGGGATGGGAGTTGTGTGTTTCATCTGTTTTACCAATTGCATCCTTTTTTTGAATTGAGAGCCCTTTCTGTTGCACACTCATGGCCCTAAATTGTTAAGATAGTCCTGTGAGATACCTTGAGAAGTCTGATATTGAAATGGAATAACATCAGCTACTGCTACTGGTCAGCATCAAGACATAAAAATATTTTTAAAATAAATGTGAAAGTTACAAGTTGGGCCTGGCTTTAGAATCAATCATACATTCATTGGTAATTTACATCCCTCCCTTTTCATCTCACATATTTTGCAATATTTGAAGATTGTTGTCACGTTTCAGTCATGTTGTTTGATTAATGGATGGAATTGCTAATACTGTGTTCAGAACAGAGAAGCAATTCTTAATTCTACAGAGTAATGGCTATTTCAAGGTTGCACTTTTCTTTACCCACTCCCCTATAATTATCAAAAAGATTATTATTGACGTTGTTCTTAAAGTCCTCAAAGATAAACAGCTTAATTATTTCATATATTTTGAAAAACATTTGTTTGGGGACATGTTAGGTCATTATTGGAATGGTGTCACCGAATGATTTTTATTCTAAAATTCAGAACCTACTGGAAGTTACGTGAGGAATAGACAAATTTATTTATTGTCTATTCTTGAAAGTTCTTAAGTATTACATGAAATGATACAAAGCTTGTAAACTAGGCCATGGTGATATTGATTCTTTTCCTAAACTTGCTATGTGTGTCTTGCAAACCTCAAACAGTGACATGTGAAATCCAAGATGCTATCCCAATTGTTCACAAATATTTTCAACCAGGTGACCTCATCATTGGTGGCATTACTTCGTTCATCTTCATAAGTAGAGTTGTAGAGCACTTTGAGAAGGTTCCCAAGAATTCTGCTGTTGGTGAACCACTGTAAGACATTATTGTTATTGCTAGAGGTTTGTTGCACAGTCAATCAAATTTTCAGATTGGATTTGGCATTTTTGTATGCCTATCAAGTCATTCCCAATAACCCAAGATAGACAGATGTTTTGTGGTGTTAGATGCATTGCTTCACAATGGAAGTTGTTCTGAGTAAAGCTGCCTTTTGTAATTATTACTATTATTATTTTCTTTGTATTAGTATAGCGATGTACATGAAATTCTTTTATACACTTATTCTCTGTGTTATAGTTAAACCCAATGTTGCATATATACATTTTAAAATAAAAATGAAGTAATACTTTTCAACCCATGTATGTTTTCATTGGGCTTTCTAAAGAAAACCAATGGTGAGATTGTGTTCCTTGAAAAAAGATTGGGGAGGAAGGGTGTCAAAGTAATTATTTAGTCTTTCATGTTTAAAAGATTTTACATACTTCTGTGGGTTACACATCAGTTTCTAAAGAAAGCAAAATTATAGTTAACCATTGGAATAATACTGTTAAGTCAGAGATACAGTATATTTTATCCTACTAAATAAAACAACAATAAACAAATTTGCCTCTGACTATGCATTGAAGGGTTTTGGAGTTGGGAGATAAGAAATACATGGCTTGGGATAATTTGAATGCTAAAAATCATATTGTGTTTTTGTAATGTTTTTAGAAATCCTGATTTACAGTTTACAGCTAAGCATCATTTTGCTAAAATTGTTTTTAAGATAGAGAAACATTTGGATTTTGCTTAAACTGGCTTTTGCATATTATGGGATTTTAAAGTGCTTATTATAGATGTAATATAACAAGCTATAACCTATTTTGTACCTGATAATGTGTTGCTGCTAAAAGAATAATATTTTTTATAGATTCTGGAACAGGACTTAGATACTTTCCTAAGAAAAGGTAAAAGAAACCAAAGCCAAAATCAATGGTATTTTTTTGCTCAGTATATGATACTGAGCAAAAATAAATAAATACCATTATTTTTGATATCATATAATTAAAATTGTTTAATAAATACACTCATGAAAAGCCAGCAATAATTCTACTGCAAACTGAATGGTAACTAATTAATCAGTTAACATTATTCTTATGGAATTCAATTTCCCTGCCCTTTTTAGACACAAAACTTTATTTGATACAGCATCTAATTGCCATTGCAGAGTTCTGATCAAGTTTTATCAGCATATTTTGAGCTTCATATTTGCTGTGAAGAAGATCAATGAAGACCTTCAGCTCTTACCTAACATCACCTTGGGCTTCAGAATATATGACAGTTATGGTGGAGAGTACTCATATCATGCCACAATGGAACTTTTTTCAAGTCAGAACCAATTAATTCCCAATTACAAATGTGGCATCCTGAACAAACTCATATCTGTTGTCGGAACTCTTGATCCTGAATATTCTTTTACTATTGAAGACATTTTAGGCATTTACAGGGTTCCACAGGTAAGATTTATTAATAGTAAGTTGTCCATACATTGCTTTATATTTGCAGATGGATTAATTGCAAGACATTAAGATATGTTTAATTTAGTATACATTTAACTATGAAGTATATTTAAGAAATTAATTTTATCAAAGCAGAAAGCAAAGTGAATTTAATTTCAGAATTTGATATAAAAGGTCAATTTCAAAAATTAATAATTAATAATCATTAAACATTCCCTGTTGTGTGGGAGCTTTGGATTCCCTCTCAAGGAATTTGTTATTGTGATGAACAAAAAAAGATGTAATGTTTCTGTATTGTATATACTTATGTTGTTAGACAGATGCATTCAGATGTTCATGGAGTTACACATAGTGTTTCGCCTATATTTCTCTCCAACTACCAGTGCTCCTGCTACCAAACCGGTAGTAAAAATAAGAGGATACCATTACTGATGTATGTATGTATGTATGTATGTATGTATGTATGTATGTATGTATGTATGTATGTACGTACACATACAACCATATATATCTGGCCTGCAGCACAAGATGCTTAAAATGCTCTATGGTTCAACAACAATATGAACCACATTCAAGGACAAAATTATTTTTATTGTTGAAGAAAAAAGAGTAATCTGCATGTTCAGTAGAAAGAGGGTAGAGCGAATCATTTAGTTGGGCAGATGAAAGGGAACTCAACAGTCAAACCCATTCTGACAAATATTTCATACACATAAATAGTGTGAAAGCATATCCTGAAACATTTCAGAACTTTTTATTTGCAGAAGATGTATATCAGTTTTGTCGACCATTTTTCTGTCTATTTTTTTGTTCCTATAGTTCTTATATGGTCCTCCTCCAAGTATCAATGGTAAAACTGATATCCCCTTTTATTACCACATGGTTCCAGGTGAAGACTTAAATTTTAGGGGAATTCTTCAGCTACTCGTCCATTTCAAGTGGGCCTGGGTTGGAATTCTTGTGAAAGGAGAAATTGGAGCAAAATTTGAACAACTGATATTTTCATGGTTTTCTCTCCATGGTATCTGTATTGCCTTCTTCGAACAAAAACTTGGGACAAGTTATATCAGTAATCTGGATGATGACCTGAAATGGTTTGTGGAGACATTTCATCTTTTTACTAACAGCAAAGCTAATGTTGTGATAATAAAAGATAAATATGTTTTACATTTAAGATGGTTATTATATCTACCTGAAATGGAAATAATTTTTATAAATCCTAAAGGTATAGTGTGGATTGTGGCTTCCCAAATCAGTATTGCATCATTCTTTTATCAGAAAATCTGGGACATACAAGTCCTCCATGGTGCATTGTCCTTTGCAGCCTACTCAAATGAAGTTGAAGGATTCCAACATTTTCTTGAGACAAGAAATCATTTCTCATTCTTTCCACAAGATGGTTTCATTAAAGATGTATGGGAACATGCATTTGGCTGTGTATTTCCAGACNCCTGAGCCGGTGAGATTTGAACCGCTGACCTGCTGATCTAGCAGTAGCCTGCAGTGCTGCATTTAACCACTGCGCCACCTTGGCTCAAATACATGAAATGGATACAAATACAAGGGAATATTAGGACAGGGATGGTAGGCACCCTGGTACATTTATGCATGCCCCTTAAAGACCTCTTAGGAATGGGATGAGGTTAACAGTAGACAGTAAGGTTAAAGTTTTGGGTTTGGGGGGAAGAAACCACATTGTTAGGTAGTGCATTCCAGGCATTGATAACTCTGTTACTGAAGTCGTATTTTCTGCAATTAAATTTGTGTCTATTGTGAAGTCGTGTGTTGTTGCAGTTGACACTGAAGTGTTCATCGACAGGTAGAACATTGCACCATATAATTTTATGTACTTACCTTAGGTCAGATTGAAGATGGCGAAGTTCTAAGTTGTCTAAGCCCAAAAGTTCAAGTCTGGTGACATAAAGTATTCTGTTGCGAGCAGAGGAGTGGAGGACTCTTTTTGTGAAATATCTCTGGACTCATTTGATTGTATTTATGTGTGATAGGCAGTGTGGGTTCCAGACAGATGACCTTTATTCAAGAATTTGTCTAGCAAAAGTTTTGTATGCCCTAGTTTGCAGTTCAATATTACTGGAGAAGAAGCTACATAAGATTAGATTTACGACTAGTGCCATTTTGGCAATGCTGGCACTTAGATCATTTGAGATGAGTACTCCAATGTCCTTGACAGAATCATGGTCATATCCGCCCAGCTTGTATTTTGTGTTTTGATTTTTTTTAGTCAATGTGTAAGACAGAACATTTGTTGGTTGAGATTTGGAGTTGCCAGGTCTTTGACCATTCTGACACATAGTATAATAGCAGCATTGTTGGTGGTGTTGAATAGTTTTACATCATCAGCAAGAGTTTTACACCAGATATAAATTATTATATGTAAATTATATATTATATTAAATAATAAAATATATTATATGTAAATAGTTTTACATCATCAGTTAATGTAAAATGTCTGAGTGTTGGACTTGTATAGAAACCTCCATATATTGTGAAGAATTGGTAGGTCATATGTAAAAGTAAATACACCCTATTTGAGTTCTGTGGTTTTATATATCAAGACATAGTAAAAATCATCGTCCTTAGTAGTTCTTAAAAGTAGATAAATAAAACCTTAAATGAATAACAACACATAGCATATTATACCCTGTCATTATTTATTTTAAAAAATAAAGTCAAAATGTAGAAGATGTGTGAAAAAGTAAGTATACTTTATGATTCAGTAGCATGTGAGAACACCTTTAGAAGCAATAATCTGAAGTAATTGTTTTCCATATGATTTTATCTGTCTCTCTCATCATTGTGGAGGAATTTTGGCTCCATTTTTCTTTACAACATTGCTTCAGTTCATTGAGATTTATGCACAGCTCTCTCAAGATCTCACCACAGTATTTCAATCAGATCAAAGTATAGAATTTGACTGAGTCATCACAACATCTTGATTCTTTTTTTTTTTTTTTTTTTGGCCATTCTATTATAAATTTGCTAGTGTGCTTGGGATTATTGTCCTGTTTCATGACCCAATGTTGGCCAAGGTTTAGCTGTTGGACAGATAGCCTCACATTTGACTCTAGAATACTTTGATATATAGAAGAGTTTGTGGTTGATTCAATGACTTGCAAGGTGCCCAGGACCTATGGCTGTGTCATGACTCACTACACAGCCTGCTTGCAACCAGACAACAATAATGGGAAGGGGAAGGGAAGGCATTGAGGAGGGAAAGTCTGGAATCCACCCAAAGTTCATCAACTCTGAGGTAGACAAATCATTCTCAAAACAACCCAGATGCAACCGATTGGTGAACAAAAGAGGTCCAAGGAAGGAAAGGGGAACTTTTCTTATGCTTTTCAGGGATGAAATGTTAGAAATGCTGTAATCATGCGGCTTTTCAGTGAAGTATATTCTTGGAGATTTAAAAAAAATGTCTCAGGAATTTCTTTTGCTAGCTAGCATATTTGTACAGTTAACAGGCTGCAAAACATGCCCCGATGCTGATTGATGATGCTGATGATACAGAAAAATAAAATAAAATGGAATTAGCCTTCATTATGCCATGATTTTTCTATCCCGCCCTCAAGTACCTGAGTGAATGCTAACATTTTACTTTTTATTTCACTTATTGGATAGATGCTACCTATTTCAATGTGTACTGAGAGCTGTCTCCCTGGATATTTCAAAAGAAAGCAAGAGGGAAAACCATTTTGCTGTTATGATTGTCATCGATGTCCCAAAGAGAAAATGTCCAGCCAGAGAGGTAAGAAGCTCCATTAATCAAATTCTGTTATGCTATAGAAAACTGAGTTGTGGTTGTTGTAGTTGAATTTTCACATCTCTTAGAATATTGTGCTCTTCCAAAAAGAAAGATTCCTTTTCCAATTGGAAAACCTCAAATAAACAATTAAAAATTAAAAATTGGCTCTGGTTTAACAAAAAAAATGAATCAAGTAATATAATTGAATAAAATTATATATATATATATGGGAAGAGGTGGGAAGAGGACTGGCCACTTCAATTGTTCTTTCTGGCTCCCTGATTCAAGCAGGCATCTGTATGGTTTGGCTGTTCACATTTCCTCCTTTCCCTGACATTGATGCCCATTCAGAAATGGAAGAAATCATACTGCAGTGCAATGAAGGCTCAGCTGCCATGTTCTATTGTGTCCTGGGCTACATGGGCTTTCTGGCAGCTGCCAGTTTCACAGTAGCATTTTTATCCAGGAATCTCCCCAGCAGTTTCAATGAGGCCAAATGCCTTACATTCAGCATGTTGATCTTCTGCAGTGTATGGATCTCTTTTGTTCCATCCTATCTGAGTACCAAAGGCAAATACATGGTGGCTGTGGAGATTTTCTCCATTTTGGCCTCTAGTGCTGGGCTGCTTATCTGCATATATTTCCCCAAATGTTACATAATTATTTTTAGATCAGAGCTAAACAACAGGGAGCAACTCATTAAGAGAAAAAGTTCATAAAATATGAACCAAACTCTCCTATAATTATTTCTCTATTTTAGAAGCATTTGTTTAAAGCTCTAGCTGAATTTGAAGAGATGAAAATGTTATAGTGAGTTTTCAATATAGGAGTAAAAGCCAGTCATATTATCCCTCATTTAACTAGTAACCTGAGATATTAAGAGGTCATGATTCCTTTTAAGTTTCCAAATTGAAATTTGAGGTCCTGTTGATTTGATTCATGCCACTGAAGTAATTAAGATTTAATTTGAAAACACACACATACAAAGAGAAACATAAGCTAAAAAACCTCATAAATATTTCCAAAGGAAAGCATGAAAACGCCTAGCTCTGCATTATTTTTTGAATGATGGAATATTTTTAAAGAAAAAAGCAGAATAACTTCTAATAACGTCTAATAGCAACCCTGACATGTTCCACTTCAAGAACTTCAATACTAAGAAACATATCTGAAGCATTAACCAGTTATTCTATGGATGATGGAGAAGACATCACCAATTTGACCTGAAATGAACTGTCATTGTATTCAATAAATGTAGCACCCTTGTAATCCCAAGTTTAATTCTAATTAGAAATGATTTGGTGAGTTTTCAGTTCAGGAGCAAAGGCTTGTAAAGTTAGTTTTTATATATTAAAATGGAACAAGTCACATATTAAAAGATGATGAGTCTATTTAAGGTTGCAATCTGGAATTTGAGAAAAAATATTCAAGTTATTATTTTTTAAAAACAACTGGTTTATTCTTATTCTATAATGAGAAAAGATAAAATGTCTGGACCTGCATTCTTTTCTAGTATAAAAAAGCAGTGATAGGGACTGGTGGTGGTGCATTGGTTAGAATGAAGTATTACAGGCTAACTCTGCCCATTGCCAAATGTTTGATCTTGACAAGATCAAGATTAATTCACCCTTATATAATTCTGAGGTCAGTAAAAGGAAGACTCACATTATTGGTGGCAATATATTGAGTTTGTAAACTTCTTGGAGCGTGCTGGAAAGACTATAGCTACTTCTATTTCTATTCTAAAGAATATTATTTTGCCAGATATTAAAGTATATGTCACCATTAAGAGCATTAATGCTATCACCAAAAACATGTTTAAAATGTTAAACATAGATAGTAGAGATGAGAGATAACATAACCAATACAACAAATAGTGATTAGGATTAAATATGCCTGCATATATAACACTAGCCAGGAACCAGACAATTAAGTGAACTGTATTAGTGAAGTGGTTTCTTATTTTGGAGGAATGGGATGGGAATTGGATTATTGCCTTTATTAGGATTTATCTAGTGGTGATATGGGTGGCAAAATGTGTGTATTTTTCCACTCTTATTGCATTCGCAGAATCTCGCCCAGCCGCCCTGTTTAGGATAGCCCACTCCCTCTTGAAAGGGAGGGATGCGGATGAACCCTTACAGGGTACAGTTGAGGAATTTGTTCAGTTTCTGTTGGATAAAATCGCTCGGATCCGGACGGAGCTGGACTCCACTTGGACAGTACCAGCCGAGGTGCCGGGGGAAAGTCCTGATCTGATTTTATGGAGCGAGTTTCAACTTGTCGCTCCTGGGGAAGTGGACAAGGCCATGGGAGTGGTGAGTGCCTCCACCTGTTTACTGGACCCGTGTTCCTCCTGGCTGGTTTCAACCAGCAGGGAGGTGACATGTAGCTGGCTCCAGAGGATTGTTAACACCTCTCTTCTGGAGAGACCCTTCCCACATCCCCTAAAGGATGCGGTGGTGAGACCCCTCCTNTCCTCTGTTTCCTTTGCTCACTGCAGTTCCTCATTGCACCTGGAAATATAATATGTCTCCTGCGACAAATTAGTTTTGGCATCATCTTCTCAGTGGCTGTGTCTTCTGTGCTAGCAAAAACCATCACTGTAATTATGGCTTTCATGGCTACCAAGCCAGGATCCAGGATGAGAAAATGGTTGGGAAGAGGTCTGGCCACCTCCATTGTTTTTACTTGTTCCCTGATTCAAGTTGGCATCTGTACAGTATGGCTCATCACATTTCCTCCTTTTCCTGATATTGACACCCATTCAGAAATGGAAGAAATCATATTGCAGTGCAATGAAGGCGCAACTACCATGTTCTACTGTGTCCTGGGCTACATGGGCTTTCTGGCATCTGCCAGTTTCACCGTTGCTTTTTTATCCCGGAAACTCCCCAGCAGTTTTAATGAGGCCAAATGCCTCACTTTCAGCATGCTGATCTTCTGTAGTGTGTGGCTCTCCTTTGTTCCATCCTACCTGAGCACCAAAGGCAAATACATGGTGGCTGTGGAAGTTTTCTCCATTTTAGCATCCAGTGCTGGGTTGCTGGGCTGCATATATTTCCCCAAATGTTACATTATCATCATTTTGCCACAGCTTAACAATAAAGAACAACTAATTAAGAGAAAAAGTTAATAATATACAACTAAACTATTTAATTATTTCTGTTTTTTGACAGTCTTTGTTTAAAGCTGTAATAATTTTTCCACTAATTTTGGAGAAGTAGAAATTATTAGGTGAGTTTTCAGTTTGGGAGTGAAGTCTAGCCCTCATTTAGTTTAAAATGAAATCTGAGAAAGTGTAAAAAAAACATCATTCTTGTTAATCTTACAATTTGCATTTTGTGGACAATTTGATGTGATTCAGGTTGTTTAAATGACTAAGACTGAATTTGAAATAGAAAGAACACACTATAAACATATTTCCTATAGCCTATAAAGTGAAAGCATGAAAATGTCTTGCTTGGGATGAGTTTTTGGAATGATGGAATTCTTTTAAAACAAAGAAGTGTTTATTGCTATGCTATTAACATTTGAAGGGGAAAGTGATGGTTTGAACACACATGTGTACAAATATTGCTTGTCTTTTTGGAAAAGAAATATTAAATGAAGGTATATATAATAATCTAGTTTTCTTATTTTACAACAAAGTCTCTAAATATGTTTTCTATATTTTAGAAAATAGAACAGTATTTTTTTAAAATTTAAAACCACAACTATTACTGTCTTATACGTACCTGAAATTATGCCTCAGAGTGACTGGCCCAAAGTTCCATAGCCGTTTTTGTGCCCAAGGCAGGAGTAGAACTCCTGCAACTGTAAGCTGCTCACAGTTACCATGTGGGTTGCCAAAACATTTTATAAATTAATAAAAATAAATAAAGTCACAATTTTATAGTTTATAAACTGATGCCATAAGTACCATAAATTCCCAGACTGGTAGAAAAATATGTTGATCTATACCAAGTTAAAATCTCACCAACATATTTCATTTGATTAGGTTTTTATATTCAATCGTCTAGGTGTTAAGTGACATTACAAAAATAATTCAAAGAACACTCTCTAATTTTCCATTCAATTATTTTAATCAGGTTTTTTTGCCTATACAGAATTCTAGTCCAACTCATCTTGAAAACAGTAACTTTCAGAAATTCTCTCTCTCTCTCTCTCTCTCTCTCTCTCCTCCCTCCCTCCTCCCTCTTTCTCTCCCTCTCTCTCCAGAATTACACAATTTCCTAGAGATCAATTTTCATAAATTGATTTCTTTGGCTGTAGCTGTTTGAAAATACAATTTAGTAATAACACAGCTGTCTCAATATGTTTAGAATTTGAGATAGTTGTTATATTTACATGAAATGGAAATAAATTCTATAAAGCCAAAAGTTAAGGTATTGATAATCTCAAGGTACTTTCTCCTTAGTTTTCAAACTCAAATTTCCTGCCTAAATCCTTTCCTGGGCACTTTTTCCAACTCTTTTACTGACAAACTTAGCAAGTTGAGATCTGGATTTTTGACTGTACCTATCCTTCCTACACAAATCCAGCATGTGTAAAGTGTTTAGCATTATTTCTATTTGACTCACAAGAACTACTTGTTCAATTTACATTCCTACTCTCAAAAGCATTTCAGTCAAAAACATTATAGGTTCTAAGCACTGGTGAGATTCAAATAATTTAACAATTGGTTCATCCAGGGTCCGCTTGGCCATTGTGGGAGACATGGCCCATTCCTATCCTCCAACTATGGGACAATCCTCCAATGATGGCCAATCTGACTCTAGGAGAACCAATTGTTAAATTACCCCTGCTATCAAAGTGGATCCTGGGTTCTGCGGGGCAATGGAGAAATGAAAAATGGGACGAAGAAAGAAGGAAAGTGGTCTCCTCCTTCCCTTGTGCTGGCTGCTCCATTTCCCATTTCTCCATTGCAGTACAGTGTCATGGAAGTTGCCCTACCTACCACCACCCAGACGCCATTTCTTCCCCCAAGCAGTTCTTTGCCTATCTGATTTCCAGCTCTGCCAATTTTTCTATCATGTTTCTCCATTGCCTTTCTTGCTGTTATGTGCAAGGAAACAAAATTTTGTGGGACTAAAAAAAAGTTCAATCAATCAATTCCAACTTCACCAGATTTTTTTTGCAAGAAGTTGGAATTGATTGATTGAACTTTTTTTTAGTCCCACAAACTTTTGTTTTCTTGCACATGCCAGCAAGAAACGTGACAGAGCTGGAAATCAGGTAGGCAAAGAAATGCTTGGGGAAAGTGAGGGTATCTAAATGCCAGAAGCTGAAATAGGCCCATCTCTCTCCAGCAGCTTCCCATGCCTGCCAGAGGGAAGGCTGGTATCTACCACTTACATGCAGTGGCATTCCAACTCTGGCTAGGAAGTGACAGCTGGCATGGGTGCTTCAGGCAGGATGCCCACTCACTTCAGCACTCTCCCTGACCCTCAGATGGTCCAGCAGTGCTTTGGCTCTGGGCTGCAGCCTTATGTGCAGGTTTTGTCCCTGCTGCTTGAGACAGTTTTTGCCTGAATGATGTGGTTGAAGGTTTCCATCACTCCTCTCTTGGACTTCTGGGAGGGTTTTTTTCTGACTGGAAAGAAATTAAATGAAAACCAGACATGTTCTGGAATGCACCATTTTTCCAGATCATGTCTAATCAGTTCGCAGAACTCAACAAAAAATTAGGTACCAGTTCTTCTGAGTTGGTGTAAACTGGATGAATCCCACCACTAATTCCAAGTCCTAAATACAGCTATTCTATGAAAGAGAAGGAGGGTAAATTAATCACAGAAGTTGAAAAAAAAAGAAAAAAGAAACCTGCAAATATGTTCTTTGGGCTGGTTTTCAGTGCTGAATTCCTCTGTTGCATATTTTTACAAAAAGGCTACATCATTACTCTGAGGCCTGAGATAAATAAATTATTAAATTAAAAAAACTAAAATAACAATAATGGAATTCTTCCCTTTCAATTTCCTCACTGTTAAAATGTGCCCCTTCAATTTAAGATTTTAAATAAAATATTTGGCACTTTTCTGCATGGATTCATTGACATATTGTTTAAAACAAAACAAAAAGTTTTTCTTTTATTTGAGTGCTTTTGAGTTATTGTTAGTCTAAAATGTATATGAATTTACTTTTGGCTTGAATGGTTGCTCATCCAGTTAATTTCTGTTTATTATACAAAAGAGTCTGAATCTGTTATTCAAGGGTTAACCAAAAAGATGTAATTCAAGCCAAATTGAGATTCAAGATTTGAGAAAAGTTTCAAGAGTGGATTATCATGAGAAAACATCAAAAAGTATTTTTCTTTGGTTAATGCTTCCTTTTCTTCTGCTTTCCCCTCATTTTGACAAAATGATATGAAAATAATGTGAATAGTAGCTTCAAGGTAATTTTACAATATTTATTTTAAATGTTTCTGTTTCTTTTCTGAAAAATAAAATAGGCTATTAGAATTAAACAAGGATCCAGCAACCAAAAATATATATTCAGAAATCACCAAAAGTTAAAGTGCAATTAAAGTAGTACAGAAAATATTTGAAGTGAAAAATCAAAACTTTCAAAACTGATTACAGCAAGTTCTTATTTTTCCTCTTGATGTTGCCATGGATGGAATAATGTCCATTGACTGACTAATTGGCTGAACAGAGATCTATTCTTGAGAGCTGACATAATTTAATCCTCCTAAATACTTGGTTTCACAGAGTACCAGGCTGGCTTGTTATTTTGAAATCAATAGTTTCTTTTAGTAGGTAGGTAAGATAAGCAGATAGACAGCGTTCATTTGGAAGGCATAACATCCAGGATTTCTAAAACTGAGGTGTGGAAAATATGTGTTCCCATCTTCAATTCTCAAATTGCTCACTTTATCAGTTGCAAGGCTTGGCATGTTATCGCTATTCTTGGCAACCATTTCCTTATATCTATGGCCCAGGTGTACATTGCCAAGATGCCCTGTAATAAGTTTAAATGCAACTTAAACTTCCAAGGCTTGGGAAGGTTTATTATTCTGTTAATAATAGATTGATCTTCTGAGTGGATATTATTCTGTAGTGATATTCCTGAAAGGAGTGCCAGAAGTCTTACAGACTGTCAGGTAAAGGCAGAATGGATCAAAAGTGTTGCACATATAGACAGGGAGTAGGCAGCAAAGAATAAAATGCTAATTAATCACACTGTGAAATTACATCAGATAGAACATTTGGGCTTACTGGGGAGAAAGCGATAAAGTAGGCAAACAATGGATCTGTCATAAATGGAAAGATTGCAAGGGGGAGGGGGGAAGGACAGTCAATATCAATGGTGAGTTATTCAGTGGAGCAATTAGGCATATTGGCACATAGAAGACATGGCCAGAAATGTCTGGCCCCAAGTCAAATTTCTTAGGTACTGAGCTTCTTTGCTAGGCTTCAGTTACTGAGGACAGGAAAAAGAAGAAAGGAAAGTCTCATGACTCAAGGGCAGTGGGCATGAGAGTCTAATCTCAATTTTCCAATCACTGCAAAGAGACTTGAGAAAAAAGCAAGTGAAATCTTAAAAAAGAGCGGATTTAACAGGTATAGGTCAGTGCTGTAGGTGTAAGTCAGTAGTGGGTTTTTTTTTTACTACCAGTTTGCTTGTGCATGCACAATACTTCTGCACATGCACAGAAGTGTCCAGATGGGTTGGCAGAGCCTCCCGCCGCTGCCACAACCAGTTTGCCTGATCTGGGCCGAATCGGAAGCAACCCACATCTGGTGTAGGTGATGGGCTACAAGTCCTCCTTTATATGCTTTCTTCCATGCTGCTTCTTTATTGCAACTGTTATTGGGAGACTCACAAATCAGGATTGTTAAAGACAGTATTCAAAAAGCAAACTGACACATAAAAAAATGAGAATCACAATTTTAAAAATGCACAATGGGACATAAAAGTAAGTAGAAGCATCAAATCAGAGTTTTTACTGGATGACAAGATATATTACTTCATCTGTAAGGGTAAAATAGCTGATACTATAGTGTGACATCCCGCCCCCCCAAAAAAGATTCCACTCTCTGAAAAATGGATGACATCCTTTTAAGCACACATGCACACTCAAAAAAAGTGTCATGAATGCTGGGCCATATGCACGGCCTTTGTTATGAAACTGTCTGGATCCCATTTTGATTGGTTAGTCTCCTTTGGATATTCTAGCATTTTACTCAGAAAGTTCATGACTTTGCAGATGAAAATAAAACTTTCCTTACACTCCTTTCCTTGAAAGGTTTTCCCCCCTGCATTCTATTGATTTCTATCTCATTGGCTCATTTAAAACTGATGTCATTTGTTGTTCTATTCACCTGCTTTTTGATGTACAGGTGAAAAAAAAGCTTCAAGTATCACGGAGAAATGGAAATGTAATTCTTCCCGGCATCTGTAATTATCAAAACTACTGTTATTAATTTTGCTGTTGCTGACATTGCTTTGGCAAACTTATAACCAACAAGGACTGAGACACTTTGAAAAATATCACTATTAGCAATACCTCCTCATCTATAGCTTGAGAGTAAAAACAGATTAAATCCTATCAGGTTTATTTTAATAAGGTGAATTCAAGGTTTTAGAATATATGTGAATAGTGTGATGGTGATGTAGTCAGGCTCCAAAAATAATAGTATATTTTTGGAGATTTTTAATCATTGGTAGACAAATTCTGCTGTAGATATACATTTGACATAATGACCATGATCCTCTTCCTCTTGCTTTTATCTCATATGATTTGGATATGTTACATGGGAAAATGCATTATTGGTGATCCTCTCCCTATTTCTCACAACTATTTCCAACCTGGTGATTTCATCATTGGTGCCATTAGTTCTCTTATGTTAATGCCTACAGAACTAGAAAGCTTCTTGGAAGATCCCCATCTTTCATTTAATGGTGAAGTCTTGTAAGTGTTCCACCTCACCATGTGGTGCAAAAGATTCCAGAATATATCTGTGAAAATCCTACACAGACCACAATTAGTTACAGTGACAAAAGTATATCATTTGTCTAGTTCAAATGTTTCATCCTGTTTAATTTATACAGGATCCTTAAAGTAAACTACTTCAATTTACTTACTGAATATTAGAGGATCATGACAATATGTCACAGAAATCTTGTAGTTCAGCGAACCAACATTTTTAGTAGGGAAAAAAAATAAAATAAAAGGATCTTCAAAGAATCCTTGTTTCTACAGGAGTACTTCTAGGATATACTGATATTTTTAGGGCATTTTATCACTGTAATTATGAGTCCCCTTTTAGGTGCACTGATTTGTTCATAGAATGTATATTCTTTTTTATCAATGAAGTCAGAAATCCGAAGTTCTTGCAACTAAGTCAGATTATGAAAAAAAAAGTATTGTCAGAAACTTATTTGCCATTCAGAAAGTATACAGGCTACAGCATAATGCCACCTAATAAATGACACATGAATTATTGATTTCAAAAACAAAACATTTGGATGAAGCACATGTGTGTTGCAACATTTTTGTTAAGTATCACAAGTTACTTGTATAACCTATAATTTTTATTCCAGAGTCCAAACTAAGTTTTATCAGCATATTTTAGCTTTAATATTTGCTGTAAAAGAGATCAATGAAAACCCTCAGATCTTGTCCAATATAACTTTGGGCATCAATATTTTTGACAATTATGGTAGAAAATGGATTTTTCATGCCACAATGGAACTTTTTTCTTCTCTGAAAAGAATGATCCCAAATTATAAGTGTGGGATTAAGAACAACTTGGTCTCAGTCATTGGGGCTCTTTATTCTGAAATTTCCATTGATATGGCAGATATTTTGAGGATCTACAAACTTCCACAGGTAAGTTATGTGGTGAACTGTAAGATCTTATGAAATCATCATGATTTTAATGAACTTTTCACATATGTGTAATTTGGAAACGTAGTGTGTGATTGACATGTGCTTACTTTGCATTAATTAACTGCATAAAGAAAGCCAACGTATTAAAACTTGAGAGAATACAGATAATGAATAATTAATAAAAATAAAAGGCTGATTCTAAGGCTGATAAGAAAGGGTTATGCTGAAAGCAAATTAAACTTTAATTTATTAATCTCTAAAGTTATGTATTTAAAAAGTATCATGGAAAATATTATTTGGAGAATCCCAGTACACCAAGTTGAAACTCAAGCATGTCTCTAAAACATAGTATCATCAATAACAGATATGGAAGGAATAGAAAACAATATTTTTGTTCTTATAAGGCTGCTAAAATAAGTTATGTCAGAAACTGAAATTTGCTAGATGCTTGAGGATTACTTCAGAAATTAAAGTACCTTTGGTATGGATGCTATTTTATTAAACATTTTTTCATTTATTTCTCTTCCCTAAGTTCCTAATGATTTTCTTATTCCTGTAGTTTATATATGGGTCACACCCAGAGATGCTGGATCATAGTGAATCATATTCCTTTTACCAGATGGTCCCAGATGAAAACATGATATACCAAGGACTTTTTCAACTGTTTGCTCATTTCAAGTGGACCTGGGTTGGGATACTTGTGAGAGAAGATGATGATGGAAGATTTGTTAGGACGGCCGTTTCAACTTTTCCTCTTCACGGCATTTGCATTGCCTTTTTTAAAAGAATGAGACCATTTTATATCAGTACATTATTCAAGGAACTGCAGTGGCTAGTAGAAACATTTTATGTTTCTATGAACAGCAAAGCAAATGCAGTAATAGTCTATGAAAAAACACTTATGCTTTTAAGATTGTTATTACATCTTCCTAAAATGGAAGATCTGTCTATGGAGCCAAAAGGTAAAGTATGGATCATACCCTCCCAAATGGATGTTGCATCAGTGTTTTACCAAAGGAGCTGGGATATTCAAGATATTCATGGTTCCCTGTCCTTTTCACTTCACTCCAATGAAATTCCTGGCTTTCAGCTCTTTCAGGCAAGAGATCATTTCTCATCAAAACAAGATGGCTTTATTAAAGATGTGTGGGTGCATGCATTTGAATGTGCCTTTCCCAGTCCCTCGATGAATGAGAAAGATAGTAAAATTTGCACTCTGAGGGAGAAACTGGAGAATGTTCCAGGTGCTTTTTATGAAATGAGCATGACTGGTCACAGTTACAATATATACAATGCAGTTTATGCTGTAGCTCAAGCTTTACATGACATGCAGCTTGAACAAAAACCCAATGGAATGCTGAACAGAAGGAAACTGATTTTTCAAGAGCAACAACCTTGGCAGGTATACATTTTCTACTTTTTCTCACTCTACATTCAAACATTCATGAATACACAAGCTACTCTTTTTTTGCTATAAATCATAGTAATGAAGGGATGAGATATAAAGTAAGTAAATCTGGTTTACACCAATTATATCATTTCATAGCTTTCTAGCCTTCAAACAAACGCAGCTTCCTCTCAGGCTCATGTACTGCTCCATACGTTGCTATGGTGATTTTCAGATTACTACTTTGTTTTCATTTTACAATCTATTCTATAGCTCATGCTTTACATGACATGCAGATTGAACAAAACCACAATGAAATGCTTAATGGTGGGAAACTGAGTATTCACGAACATCCATAGCAGGTACTGAACATTTTTCTTTTTCTCTCTGTACATACAACTGCCATCCATATACAATCTATTATTTTTTCATACAAATCACAGTAAACCAAAATAATGAAGGGGTGGAGATATAATACAAATGGAGAATAAAAGTAAATTTAATTTATATCCACTGTATTATTCTATAACTTTCTGTCCTTAAAACCATCCTAGCTTCCTCCCCCTTGAATTCCTTTGTCATGAAATTCTGATCTTTCCTTTTATCTCATTCCATTCACTCCTTAATAAACTTTTTGTGTGATTCTCATTTGTTTTCAATGGTTCAACTTCTCTATTTTCATGTCCTTACTGGTATTTAATTCATGTTCATTTAGATCTTCTTGACTCTTTCACAATCACATTCAACTCCCCATTCCATTTAGGTAACATGGATGCTCTTACACACAAACACTTTGTTTCTTTCAATAAATATTAAGACTCCATATTAGCTTCTGCTTTCCTAATATCCTTTTATCTTTAGGTTGGTTTTTTTGGTCATTTCATTTTTGTATGCTTTTTATTAAACTCAATCATCTATTCTATTTATTCACCTTGTAACTTGTAACTGTTCATGCCTTTTCATCAGTCAAAGTCATGTTCTGCGGCCTTTGTTACCTCACTTTTCAGATTTCTATTCTGTTTGCATTTTCAATCTAAATGTCAAGTGCAGGAAATCAGGAATATGGAAAGTTCAAAAGAATATAGATTTAATGTATGCTAAAGCTCTCTACAAGAATTGGAACTACCAATGTTAATTGTTAATTGGAACTAACAAATATGTGATAGATAAGAGACAATGGAATTCAAGGTGGGGGACTTGAGAGACACTTGGCCTCAAACTGGCCATCCCTTCATCTTGGCCTCCTTCCTCTTCCAAGGGTTCTTTGGTGGTGATTTCCCTCCATTGCATCAATTCTTTGAAGTTCCAGTTGTCATAGGAATAAGGACAAAATTGAGTCTTGCCACTCATACATTTTAAAAACCAAGGATATTCCTAGGTACTCTGGTTTCAGGCTGATTGCATTTTGTTCAGTTTTTAAATAATATTTGCTAGATAAGAAATATGGTTTTGCCATATGACAGGAAATTATACTCTTCTTTTAGCCACTCAACTCCGTTGGCTTTACACTTTTACAATTTGTATTGTTTATATTGTTTTTAGACAGCATGTTTTAGCATGAGAAAATTTTGGGCCATGTTGAATTTGTTATCCTTTTAAATTAAATTGGGATATAAAGAAGGTGATGCTCCTGTAAGAAAATTAGTTTGTCTTTGCATACTGAAATAATATAATTGGATTAAATGAATGCATTACATAATGAGGGCAAATAAAATATCCTCAAAAGTTGTTGTAGCAATTGCAAATCAATTATGTAACTGCTAGCAGAAATAGCATATTAATTACTGATTCTATTTTCTTACTATTTATGTATTCATTGATATTCAGCTCCACCAGTTTCTGAAAGAGATCTCTTTTAATAACAGTGCTGGGGATAGAATTAAGTTTGATGACAGGAGGGAATTGATAGTTGGATTTGATATTATAAACTGGGTCACATTCCCAAATCAATCCTTCAATAGAGTGAAAGTGGGGAAGATGGATCCCCGGGTTCAAGAGAAAAATATGGCTATTCATGATGAAGCCATCACCTGGCACAGTTCTTTCAACCAAGTAGGTTCTGAATGTTTTTGCTTGCATGACTAGAATGATATCCAAAAAATATATAACTATGTCATTTAACATAGAAATAATATGATTTTTAGCTTTTATTTATAACACAGGTTATTTGAAATATCATTCAGAGAGGTTTATTTTAAGAACAAAGCATTAAAATGTTTAAAAGAAAGAAGTCTTGATGATGTATTTGGAAAAAAATAACAAAAGTTTAGAAGAACAAATTATACTAAGAATTTAAAAATGAATTCACATACTGCTAAATGAGTTGGTCTAGATTCAATGTCAAGCATACTTGTTGAAGACCCTTGTGATATTGACAGGTTGGCTCCATTTAAAAGCATACATATACAAATAGATAAATAGGTACCACTTCAATGGGAAACAGCATTCTGTGTACCTTGATGTATATTTATGCTGGCCACATGACCATGGAGGTGTCTTCAGTTAATGCTCGCTCCCTTAGTTAAGAAACAAAGATGAGCACCACACCCTAGAGTAAGACATGACTGGACAGGATAATCCTTTACCTTTATCTTTGCCTGTACTTTTACTTTGTACTATTAAACCACTGTAGATAATTTAGTTTTCTAATCTGATAATAATGAATGTGCAAAATTGATTTATTAAATATAGGAGGAAAAATATAAATTAAGAATTTTAAATAAGTCGTTGCTAAATAAAGAATTTCTAGTGAAATGAATACAAATCTTAATAAAAATGAGATTATTTCATCTATAATTAAGATACATGGAACCATGGTGTCCTTTTGGAATTCCTGCAGGAATTATGGATTGGGAATATTGTTTCCTGAGTTGGTAGATCTAGGCTATGAGTATGGGGAAGCGAAATGAACCCCCATAAATTTGCCACCACTTTGGTTCTGTCTTTCCCCTATTTAACTTCTGTATAAAGTTGCTTTAAGTATTATCATATTCTAAGAACCAGTGATCAGAAGTTTAATTTCTGATCACTGTTAATGAAAGCCAGATCTTCCTCTAACAATTATCCCTGCCCTGCCCTGATATCTCTGCCTTTACATCTCAACCCTGTAACAATAAAAACTTTAATCTTGCAGGAGAGAATGAGCACGGGGCTAGATGTGCCCATCCAGATTTTGGTGATTGCATTAGTTGAGATTCCAGGGCAGAGTAAGAAGAAACATAATAAATGTAATAAATTGTTTTGCAGACATTGTTCCAAAAGTAATTGATTATGATATTTCATTCCAGAATTTGGCTCATGAGACAGCATGCAACTGAATTTTGATTCAAACTTCACAATTTCTTTTGATAATGCCTTACTTTATCTCTATCATCTTCATATATATGATGTCCTCTTGTAAAGGCTTTCACTGTATTCCAGTATTAGATTCTATTTTTTAAATAAACCTTTAGAATATGTTAAGTGACTAGAAAAAATACTTCAATTGTTATGAGCCCCACTGAATTAACTTCATCATAGTTTGATCATAATATATTTCTTAGTTCAGAAGAAGAATACAGAAAAGAGCAACAAAGATGATTAGAGGGGCAGGAAGGTAGAACATATGAAGAATAATTTAATTGAGTATATGTAATCAAGTGAAAAGAAGAACTAGGAGTGACATGATAGTAGTTCCCCAATATCTGAGGGGCTGTCACAATGAAGAGTGGATCAAACTATTTTCCAAAGTGCCTGAAGGCAAGGCAAGAAACAATGGATGAAAACAGTGAGAAGAATTAACCAGTGGAATGGCTTGCCTTCAGAAATTGCGAGTGTTCCATCACTGGAAGCTTTTAGAAAGAGCCTGGATAGCCATTTGTCTGAAATGGTATAGGATCTACTGTTTGTGAAGGGGTTGGACTACAAGACTTCCAAGGTCCCTTACAATCTTGTTATTGTGTTCTATTCTACTTATATCTAAATGTATACTATTAGTGGAACAGGAAAATGGTCCATTCTTGGAGAGCTTTGATGATGACATTGATGAGAAAGAAGCAAATCCTAAAAACTATCACCCTAATTTGAAAATTACCCATTAAGATCTTTAAGCTATTTTTTTTTCAAATACCAGATTGAATGCTAACATTTTCCTTCTTACTTTACTTACTGGGTAGACCTTACCTGTTTCAGTTTGCACTGAGAGCTGCCTTCCTGGTTATTTCAAGAAAAAGCAGGAAGGGAAGCCATTTTGCTGCTATAACTGTTTTCCATGTCCTGAAGAAAAAATTTCAAGCCAGAAGGGTAAGAAGCATTATAAGCAGAGCTTATCTTAAAACCATACCAGGATATACTGTAGCCTACAGAGTACTGTACATATCAAAGTAAGGAAAATTTACTTGCTCCATTTAGATTTTAACATAACTGTTTCTATATATTAAAAATTATCTTGATCTGGTTTACATAATTCAGGTATTTAAAAGATTTGATAAAAATAATACTAATGCTTTCAGTCTCTCTCTCTCTTTCCTTAACTGTATCAAATTATCCACTATAAGATCTGTTCAGTGACTTGCGGTCAGCTTTATTGCTGGTGAGGCAGCTTTTTAGACTTGTGGACTTCAACTCCCAGAATTCCACAGCCAGGCATGCTCAGTTCCGATTTAAAGCGACAGCATTTTTCCCCCTTGCAAAATAAGTTTTCCCATTCTTTTTCTTCTCCCTCCCCCTCCTTCCTCCCTCTCTCCCTCCCTCCCTCCCTCCCTCCCT